AGACGATATTGTTTTCTTACAAAAATACAAAAAATGAAAATCTTCTGGAAATGTATTTTATTTCTCCATTTTTTTGTAACTCGTCAGTGCAAGAGGAGACTTTAGTGCATCATGTTTACTGATCCTGCAACTGTAGTTAAACTGCCTTTATGACGTGTTTGTAGTGCAGACAAAGATAATACAAAGAATAAATAAAAATCTGCCTTTAAATTATAACTTACTGTTTTTCATGATTTAAAAAAAGATATTCAAACATCAGTGCAAGCCCCCTAAACCTTATAACTGGTTATGTCATCCTTTGGCAGCATGAACTGCAATCAAGCATCTGTGGTAACTGCTGATGCGTTTCTTTACGTCACTGTGGAGGAATTCTGGCCCACTCTTCTTTGCACAATTGTTGAAAAAAGGAAAAGGTTATCTGATAGGAGGTTTTGCATGAAAGCAAAGTCAACCTGTTTGTCACACAGCGACACCTCTTCATTTGCCTGTGATCAGCAGGTGTGGCACTGACATCGCTGTGGTCAGTCCTCAACATTTTTCGAGTCACACACTGAGGTACATTAACTGTGGTTTATCTGCATGTTGTCTGAAAACACCTACAGGCAAAGCACTTGCCAGCCTTTAGTTTTGCCTGCTCCACAACTTTTCCATGGGTTTGTCCACATCACGTTTTGTTTAGTGACATTATGTATATCTTGGCCATGAAGGCTGACTTTAGACTTGCGAGAGTTTCTTTCCCAGAGAAGTAGAGACACACTTTAGGACTGTAGGCGCTGACTAATAGGGCTGACAGCAAAATTTTTTGAATGTGTCCATTTTTTAAAGATTATTCACGAGTATATCAAAGAACAGTTTCCAAAGCAGCTGGAATACAACAATTTCACTTTCAAAATGGTAAGGTATACCTGCATTGTGTTTATGTTGTGTTATTCCTTAGGTTCAATACAGCACCACCAATTCAATACATCCTCTGTTACTTTATTTAAACATTTCATCATTTAACCATCAGACCTTTTGATTGTACTTGCTTTTATTCAAGGGTCTCCTGTCATCAATCAAGTCTACACTGATTATTTCCCTCAGTATCTTCATGCCAGGTAAGAATTTTCTGAACCATACTATGAGTATTTGAGTTTCATTTTCAACAACAGGTCAGCATCAGTTTCAAAAAGAAAAAGTCTAGAAGAAAGTTTTTGGTGTCTACTGAACAATGTTTGTGTAACATAGTAAAAGAACTTCAGGATTAGTGAAATTATCTTGTACTGAGTTATAAATTGGAAATTCAAATCAATACAGAATTCATTAAATTCCAAATGATTTCTACAAAGTACAAGATAAACACTGATTTTTTTTTTTCTTGTGAAAATCTCATTGCAAGCCAAACATTGCAACATAATTACACTCAATATTATTTCATTGTCTCATCAGCTTTTTGCAGTAATTACACCATTAGCTGCTCTCAGCCAACCCAACCTGCCCTGCTGGAGGCGCTGTCTCCGGTCTTTGACTTGAGTGACATACGGCCTGTTAGGAACATGTCAACATGCACCAATATCACTACTTTCTTCACTCTGTATGGGATTCTAGGGGTGGTATGTTCACCGATCAGAACATCACATCACATAAAATGTAACAAGTGTGTATACAGACTGCACTCTAAAACTCTTTAAGTAAAGGCAAAATACTTAGAGAAATGGATAAACCATGTCCACATTGCTCAAATGATTCTCTTTCCATAGCAACACCAATGTTTTTTAATCCCTTGGCATATACTGGGTTGTCTTTCAGGATGAAAAGGCACAACTCTTGACCGCTTACATTTGGCTACAGTGTGTGAGTACTGCAATGATCCGGCTACATTTGTTCTTCTGTGATACAGGAATAATCATATTTTTTAAAACATGATGATTACGTGTAGCATGCGCGATCTATCCATTGTCATGAGTTTTGTTCTTTTAGTTGTGGATGAATGAATTTGTCAGCTGGGACCCAGTCCAGTGTGGTACAGACATGATGTCTCTTCCCTCAAGCCAATTTTGGATTCCCGATATTGTAATCAATGAATTGTAAGTGATATATTACCAAGCCTGTGCCTCTCAAAGCATACACATATTATAATCTATGGCACCAAAACAAGTCTTTTCCTTATATTTTCCTAATAATAAAAACATTTTGTATTTGTCTTTGTTAATGTTTGGTCATCTCTCAGCAATTTTTATTATATGTAACTGTGCAGTTGCTATGTTTTTTATAGGTCCATAATTGTCTAACTACTAGACACTGTAATTCTTAGCAAATGTTTAAATAGGTGCCATGTTTGTTATTCACGCCATCATTTTTCTAATTGTTCTTACAGTATGGAGGAAAACAAGGCACCGCCTGCTCCCTATCTGTACCTGTACAGTAATGGTCAAGTGAATCTCGCTATACCTGTCAGAGTTGTTAGTTCCTGTAACCTCAATATCTACACCTTCCCCTTCGACATACAAAACTGCATTTATACCTTCAACTCCTACTTGCACGATGGTCAGAAAATATTTTATACATATACATTACATGTGGACAATTAGTGAGCTCACCTTTAGCTCAGTATTTTCCTCTTTGCTTTTCCTCTCTGCACAGCATCGGATATAAAGATTTCTCTTGGAAGATCTGCAGAACTAATAACACAGATGTCCCAGAGTGTGATGGCCACCATGGGTGAATGGGAGCTGCTGGAAATCACCGCCAGTAAACTCAATCATGATGGAGAGGATGACAATGATTATTATGATGAGCTTGAATTTCGTGTAGGTGGATTGCAGTGCCAATAAACTGCTGTAACTAGGCAGAAAGGAGCACATACTTGGGCTTGTTCACATACCTCGTATTAATGTGTCTATAATGCCTGTTTTGTAAATCCAACACAGCTAAAATCACGATTTGCTTACATACACGATCCACTTGGTCACGATAAGAAGATTTCACAGCACAAACATACCTGACCAAGTTTTCCCTTATTGTACAGATCAAAGTGAAGCGCCGGGCCACTATGTATGTGGTCAACCTCCTCCTCCCCAGCTGCTTTCTCATCACAGTCGACCTCTTCAGCTTCCTGCTGCCACCACAGAGCGTGGACAGGTCTGCCTTCAAGATGACCCTCATCCTCGGCTACACCGTCTTCCTGCTCATCATGAATGACCTGCTGCCGGTCACCGGAAACACCATACCCCTCATAAGTTAGTGACACTCGACAAAATGTCTACGGTGATTTCTTGAAACTGTTTGTAGTTATGTTTTTTAATTATTAACTTATCCTATACTAAAAAAAAACTATAATATGAAAGGTACTGGTTAAAGAAAGTTAAGGGAACCCTTACATCCCATATCAGACCTCGATCTTATAGAGTCAAGTTGAAAATCTGTACTCACATACATACTGTAATGCAGTATTAGCATTGTATACTTATATACTTGTTATAGATACACATACATAACATGTGTGAAATAGTCAAATCAATATTATTATGTCCAAATTTGTAAATACTGTTCACTTTTTTAAAAACTATATTTACATATGCATTTAAAGAGCAGCTTTTAAGATAAAAAATATACAGATTAGTGGCTTAGACTGTGACATTGTAAACTTGTATTGTTTCTGGGTTCCTTCGTCTCTCTGTAGACGTGTTCTTTTCTCTCTGCCTGGCTCTGATGGTGGCCAGTCTGCTGGAAACAATCCTCATCACCAACCTGCTGTGTGGGTCTGCTGACTTCTCTCCTGTCCCTCGCTGGATGCGAGTCCTTGTTCTGCAATTTCTGGGTGTTATTGTTTGTATGCCACGAATGAATAAGAAGCCAAGAGTTTCAGGTATGTCAAACATAAGTAGCGAGTTTAGAAATCTAAGGTTACAAGATTAGGTGACTATGAATATTTCTTCTTGACTTTGCTTAGAAACAGACCTTAAGACCAGGACTGCTGTGGCAGCTATTGAAACTTATGTGGGGCTTCAAGAGCCAAAGGGGCAATCAGCGGAGGACCTGGCTGTGTATGAACTCAAGAAACTGGGCAAGGACCTCCAGGCCATTCGCCTGAAGGTTGATCAGGAGCTAAACGACAGCCAAAGCTCAGAGGAGTGGATGCAGGTGGGTTTCATCATAGACCGCCTGCTGTTTGGCCTCTACATTCTCTTCATCTCGGTCAGCTTTATCACCATCATCATTATCTGGGTGAACTCGTACAATAAGTAGACAACTGCCATGTGTTTTAAAGCTCTCCATTTGTGCTAGTGGGTTGAATGTTAGTGCATTTTGACCAAGGTTTTGTCATTTTTGTAGATGGTGTGAAAAACTACTGTCTTAGAGCACATTTATGCAGTATGTATAGTATAGTTATACTGTGTTTTGCTTTATTGTTTCATACTGGACTTTAAATTAGCTCTGCTGCATTTATAATCATTCATCTTTACCCTTCTGTGTTGTACTGTACAATTTTTAAATGGAGGAAACCACTGTATACAAAATAAAACGTCTGTAAAATTTAATTCAATTTGTGAGTGACATTCATTTCGAAACGCACAATCACATCCCTGTGTAGATTATATAAATGGTATTATATAGTATAATGTTTCCTTCTAAGTGCTTCAGACTACAAGCTGCACTTGAATCATACATTTAACCCTCTTTAGACTGTGGGAGGAAGCCAGAGCACCAAACCTGTCGAGCCACACAACATAAAAAGTTCACACAGACAGGTCCCAAAGCAATCACGTTCAAACAGGGAATTTAGCTTTGAGACATTATGCCAATCATGGCACCATCTTCTGCTTTCCATTTGATATTTAAAACTTCCAGTTTCAGCACTGCAGTTTTCGTTTAACACAAAGGTAGGCTATATGGGATATTCTTTTTTATTATTATTTATATTTTATTGCTTTTCTTATTTATACAGCATGTACAACAATACAGCAACTTAATTACAGCAGAGGGGGGACAAAATAAAACAAAAAAAAACTAACGGACAAAAGCAAAATCTAAAAAAACAAACAAACCAGAAAACACAATGAGATTATACAAAATCGGGCCTCCCATTTTGTACATATTTCAACCATTTCAACCAGCAATCCTCAAATGAGTCCGCCTGCAACTTTAGCCTAAAACTTATTCTTTCCATTAAAAAAATAGTCTACAGGGTGGGCCATTTATATGGATACACCGTAATAAAATGGGAATGGTTGGTGATATTAAAGTCCTGTTTGTGGCACATTAGTATATGTGAGGGGACAAACTCCTCAAGATGGGTGGTGACCATGGTGGCCATTTAGAAGTCGGCCATCTTGGATACAACTTTGGAAATAATTTTTTGATAGGGTGCATCTCTATATGCATTCTTGAATATATAAATAATTTCTTCATTCCCAGTCGATAACTGGGGATGTTTTAGCTTTTTATTCAGGAAGTCCCTTAGTTGCAAATATCTAAAAAAAATCTTGATTTTGCAACCCAAACTTATTCTTAAGATCCTGGAAACTCATCACTTTTCCATCTTTCAACAAGGTAATGTATGTGGTGAGGCCTTTATTAGCCCATGTTTTAAATGTCGAGTCGGTCTTACTAGGCAAAAATTCTGGGTCATATGTAAACCAACTAAGGAATCCGGCCCTCTGTTTTAATTGATACTTTTTAAGTACTCTTTTCCATGTCTTTATTGAGCTTACTATCCAAGGGTTGCCTGGGAATCGTAACTCTGAGGGTTCTCCTATCAGTCTCCCGACAGGAAAGTTACCTCCCAAGGAAAATTCCACTTCCTTCCATCTTGAACAGTATCCAGGTTTACACCAGCCCACCAGATTTCTTATTTGAGTTGCCCTATGATAATCATGTAGGCAAAGGAGGCCTAGTCCTCCTTTTTCCTTGGGAAGCTGAAGTGTTTTAAATTTAACTCTTGGCTTTTTACCCGCCCATATAAATCTAGAGAGGATCCTATCCCATTCTGCAAAGTATCTGTCAGGGTTTTCTATAGAAATAGACTGGAATAAGTACAATATCTTTGGGAGCATATTCATTTTATGTTGTCTACTCTAGAAGAGACGCTTAGAGAAGGGGTTAATGACCATCTGCTAATATCTACCATGATATCTTTTTTAAGTGGGGAGTAGTTGATTTCTTCCAAATTGGTTATATCCATTGATAAGTTAATGCCTAAATATTTGAGCTTACTTTGTATTTGCTGAGCAAATTTGGGTGGGGTGGGGGTGGGGGGGGTAAAAGCTACTAAGAACTTGTGTTTTTTGTATATTCAGTTTCTATCCCGAGTAGGACCCATACTCCTTTAACACTGACATAAGCTCCATAAATAATTCAGTAGTTTTTGATAAGTAAACCAAAACATCATCTGCAAACAAGGCCAATTTCTGCTCACTTCCAGCAATATTAATCCCTTTTATTTTATCATTCTGCCCAATGCTTTGAGCCAACGGCTCTATAAAAATGGCAAATCAGAGTGGATTCAGTGGGCATCCTTGTCTTGTGGACCTTTCAAGCTTGAAAGCATCTGAAAGTTCACCTTTGATCTTTATTTTTGCAGTTGGACTATTTTACAAAGCCCTCAATATTGTAATGAATGACCCATTAAACCCAAATTTAAGCATTACTTGGAATAAAAAATTCCCATCTCACAGAGGCAAAGGCTTTTTCAGCATCTAGACTCAATAATATAGCTGGTATTTTATTTAAATTAATATGTCTAATAATTTGCAGAAAAAAATCCAACCTGATACAAAGTATCTTGATACATTTAAATTCAACACAGAATTTGACGCAGTAGTGACGCAGAAACACAAAAAGTGATTATAATCAAAGCAAGTATAGCCAAGATGACATGAGGAATTTTGTTTTATTATTATTAGTAGTAGTAGTAGTATCATCTCAGGTTATTTCTTTGTTGTCATCGAATGGGTGACTTTTAATTTATTTAAAAAAACACGTTACATAAAATAATAAAAGCTTGTTTGGCAGACTAACACCTGCTTGTCACAGGTTTCTCTGATTTGCCTGTGATGGGCATGTGTGACACTGACGCTACTGTGGTCAGTCCTCAGCATTTTCAAGTCACACACTGAGGTACCTTACACTACCTGTGGTTTATCTGTGCTTTGTATGAAAACACCTACAAGCAAAGCAGCTGTCCTGCCTTCTGCTCCGCATCATTTGCCCAAGGTTTGTCCACATCACGCTTTGTTTAGTGACAATATGTATATCTTCGCAGTTTAGTCTTGCAAGAGTAAGTTTCCCTGATAACCAGCAGACACACCTTTGCTCTGCTGCTGCTGACTAATACAGCTGTCAACAATTTTTTTTAAATGTGGCAATTATTTAAGGAGATGATTATTCTGTAGTATACCAAATAAAACAGTTTCCATTCAAAAAACAGCTGGAATACAACACTTTCACTTGCAACATTATGGTAAGGAATTCTTCTTTCTCGTTACATTGTCACAAGTGTTACTGCTGAAGTTAAATACTAATAATAGTGCATATCTGTTACTTGAATCCAAAATGTTATTACCATTTTTTATCCATAAATCCTCCTGATTGTGATTACAGGAGCTTCTTCCGTCACTCAAGCCAACCATGATTTTGATCTTCAAGACAGGTATGTGTTTTGTTAAGCACAATGAAAGTGTTTGAGTTTCAGTTTTAACAACAGTGTGTTCAGTAGCTAATCAATGATGTTAAATATAGTAAAAGTATGAGCATTAAATCTGGAGAGAGACAATTGAATTGACAACTACTAAATTCATTTCAGTCAAATCCCATTGCAAGCCAAACACTACGACGTAATTACACTCAGATTCATGATTTTGTTGCCTCATCAGCTCTTTGCAGTGCTTACATGGTGAACTGCTCTGCACCAGACAAACCTGCCCTGCTGGAGTGTCTGTCTCCAGTCTTTGAAGTAAGTGACATATGGTCTGTGGAGAAAATGACAACATCCACCGATGTCAGCACTTTCTTTGCTCTGTGTGAGATACTAGCGGTATGTCACCTGTCACATGAGCTTATTTACAATGCCGTTAGTGCTTCCCAACAGTGTGTATACAGATTTTATCTTTTGGTTTCTATTGTATCTGAAACTCTTGAGTTGAAGGACTGTCACAAACAAGTTCAAACTTCTTCAAAGAGAGGCTTTCTGTGTTTTCTGTGTTAGAGACTTTTTTTCTGGTCTTCCAGGATGAAAAGGCTGAACTTCTCCTCACTTATTATGTACTGCAATAATTTTAGTAGCCCTGCAGGGGTTTGCCTGCTATTTGTGCTGATACCAATTTTGTTGTTTTAGTCTTGGATCAATGAGTTTGTCAGTTGGGACCCATTTCAGTGGCGTACTGAGCTGCTACATCTCCCCGGAACCAAATTGTGTGTTCCAGAGCCTGTAATCAACGAGCTGTAAGTACAAAATCATTTACTCTTTATCTCAAACTCCGCACAAGTATTTCCAAAAGAGCAGACATCTAGAAACTCTAAAAATGAATGTTTCAGCATTATGTGGGATACTCTGTTGTTGTAAATGCCACAAATCCTCTGTGCCTTTGTCTTGAAATTACAAATCTAACTTATATGCAAACAAGAGAATATGATTATCCTTAATTAAAAACCCTAAATCGAATCCCGTGATTTGAGAATGTTGAATTTTTGGATTTTGAAAATGGTTCTCCTGAATATTGTGCAAAAAGACACATCGAGAAGTATTTTTACAAAATAATTTAGTTTTACTTTTTCGCTGTGACATAATGGGGTTAGTGTTGGGGTTGTTTGTCAACATCAACAGTGCCTTTAATTTATGCCATGTCCTCATTTCACACATCTATTCACAAAAAAACGCCCTGTTCCCTGTGTAGTAACAGTACGGTAGATGACGGTCTACCTGTCAAGGCTGTCAGCTCTTGTAACCTTGATATCTGCACCTTCTCCTTTAACATACAAAACTGCTCTTATACCTTCAACCCCTACTTGCACTTTGGTAAGAACATTTAACAATTATGCATATCAGTTTCACCCTTTTTAATTATATCTAAATTGAATGTGAGCTCTGACTAAAGTCAGCATTTTTCTCTTCACTTTTCTTCCCCGCACAGCGAGGGACATAAAGATTTTTCTTGGAAGACCTGCAGAAATAAAGGCAACAGTCTCCGAGAGTTTGATGGCCACCATGTGTGAATGGGAGCTACTGGATATCACCTCAGATAAAGCAACAGAGAGTGATATTAACAGTGATGGTTTATGTGCTGATGAGTTTAAATTTCATGTAAGTTGATTCTAATGAGAAGCTACAATAAATAGTAAGATAAAATCAAAGCTATGTTGTAATTTTTTCCCTATATTTTTAAATGTTTAACATTATTGCAAAATTAAAACACACCTAAAAATATAAATTCAGTCTAAATCCTGAATTATACAGTTATATATCAAACATTCATGTACCAGGTAATGACAAGCAAGGTTCACAGATTAAGAGTACCTCAGTTATCTCTTCTTTTCTTTCCACAGATCAGATTGAGGTGCCGGGCCACTATGTATATGGTAAACGTCCTGTTCCCCAGCTGCTTTCCACATAGTGTGGACAGGTCCGCCTTCAAGATGACCCTCATCCTCAGCGTCTTCCCGCTGATCATGAATGACCTGCTGCCGGTCACTGGAAACACCATACCCCTCATATGTGAGTAACACTCAACAAAAAGTCTACACTGATTTCTTGAAACTGGCTACATTTGTGTTTGAATAGAAACTGGACTGGGAA